TACCTCTAAAAGATTAAGAATGATATAAGTAATTTGCTGGATATGAACAATATAGCTTTCACCATTAGAAAATGAAGAATAATTGCATAATCTTTCTCGCGGAGAATGAGTATGTACGAATATCACGACTCTTCACATGAACAGCGACAAAATAAGAAACACACAACAATTCTACATATTTCCTAGCAATAACTGGAATTTTAATAAGTACTAATACTACACTCAAAGTGTAAGAGCACACATTTGCAGCAACAAACATGTTGGAAAGTGACACCATGTAAAAACGTTATTCAAATGTAATGTAAATGATAGGAACACTCGATTACTAATAGAATTTGAGTACCTAAATCGAGTTGTTGGATCACGTCTCCAGAATTCAGTATTCTTCCTTTTGACAGCAGTGTAATACACACGCCTGGAGCTATTCCTAGCAATAAAATACCCTTTAGAATTATGAATAACTTATACATATTTGTCTTGATTTTCTTTGAAACTCGTACAAATATGAGGTACTATCATACCTTGTCCAAGGTTTCTTCATATCAAATATATTAAACAAAAAGGTCACCATACTACAGTCAAATCTGTCTTAGTGGCCACCTCTCTATAAAGACCACCTGTCTATAGTGACCATGTATTTTGTCTAAGAAGGAAATATGTGTTGTAGGACCTGTCTAGAAAGGCCACCTTCTACCATAGCCCTTTCTTTGTTTCCCTTGAGTGGTCTTTATAGACATGTTCGACTGTATGAGCTATTTGTTGATGGCAATGAATCTGCAGCTGTTTATCTCTTTTACCTCCTTTTTAAATTTAAAAAACAATAAACAAAAAAATGTACAATTATCTGTAAACATGTAAGGCACTTCATATACTGATGAAAGGTGGGAAAATGAGACATTTTAGTTACTTTTTTTTCTTGACATACATATGAAGAGTTTCATTCCAAAAGGAGCTTAATCCACTTTGGGTACTTCTGAGTAAATCGCCTTTTTTTTAATTTCTCCACTTTCCTTGAAGCCATGTACTTTCATGTTGTTATTTATGTTGAAGGTGTCACCCTGGACCAATAATATATGAAAAGGAAAAATCTACAATTTTTTATGATTTTTACTAAATTTTAAGATTTTCTATTTTCTTGAATTTAGCTCCTTTTGGAATGAAACACGATATTGTACCTAAAAAAAAATGATAATTTTTTCTCAATAAAGTCACTAAAATTGTATTCAAAGTCGAGCGGCAATCTTAAGATTCCGACGGCATTCGAAGTGCATTTAAGTTGGATTCTTTAAGTATCAAAAATATCGAAATAGATTCCGGCGGCAATCGGGATGCATTCGAGCCGCATTTGAGCGGCAATCTAAAGATTCCGACGGCATTCAAAGTGCATTCGAGGTGCATTCGGGACATCCTTGCATTCTGCTTTAGAGCCGCATTCAAGAGGCAATCCATAGATTCGGACGGCGTTCGAGGTGAATTTGGGACATTCTTGTATTCTGGTCGGGACGTTCTAACCCCGGCCCCCCCACTCAGTGTTATTTAGGGTACGCATATGCTCGTACCCTATTTTTGAAAGCACCCCCTATCTGAGGAGTGCCAACATTTCCGAACCCCCCTTTCGCGGGCTTTTCGCGGGCTTTTCGCGGGCTTTTCGCGGGCTTTTCCTGCCTTGGAGACCCCCCTAAATCGGGAAAAATGCTCATTTTACCCCCCCTAAATTCGGAATAATTTCTCAGGTGTCCAAAGAGATGAGAGAAAAAAAGAAAAACACCCCCTTTTTATAGAAATCTCCGGGTGAAAAGTCAAATACACCCCTTTTTTTTACAATTCTCGGGCCGGACTTTGTCGCACGAAAAGTACCCCTTTACCGGACATTTTGGCAACACGCATGCGGTCATTCCGACCTTTGAGTGGGGGGGGGGGGGGGGGGGGGGGGGGCGGGGTTCTAACTGCATTCGAGCCGCATTCGAGCGGCAATTTAAAGAATCCGACGCCATTCGAAGTGCATTCGAGGTGCATTCAGGATATTTTTGACATTCTGGTCGGGACGTTCCAACTACATTCGAGCCGCATTCGAGCCGCATTCGAGTCGCATTCGAGCCGCAATCTAAAGATTCCGACGGCATTCGAAGTGCATTCGAGGTGCATTGGGGATATTTTTGCCAATCTGGTCGGGACGTTCCAACTGCATTCGAGCCGCATTACCTTTCCTTTTAAATAATAATAATGAAATCACAACTAAAAAAAAACCTTTTGAAAAAAACTGAACAACATAATTATCACAGTTTCATTCCAAAAGGAGCTAAATCCGTTCAATTCCAGAAGGAGCTAAATTCATGTTTCATTCAAAAAGGAACTAAATCCACAAAATCTAAAATTTGATAAAAATAAATAACTGGTAGATTTTTTTTCTTATCATATATTATTGGTCCAGGGCGACACCTTTAACATATATAACATGAAGGTACATGGCTAAAGGAAGGTGGAGAAATAAAAATGGTGATTTACTCAGAGGTACCCAAAGTGGATTTAACTTCTTTTCGAATGAAACCGATTTGGATTTAGCTCCTTTTGGAATGAAACATGATATTGTACCTAAATTTGTTCATACTTCCTGGTGAAATTTTAGAATGTGATATAGTGCATTTTGTCCCTTGTAGGAAGTCATTATTTTAAGATTAAAGATAAACTGTAGTACTGGTAATGCGATTGCATTGTAAAAGAAAAGGTGTGGAAAGGATCAGAAACAGTTGATCATGTAGCATGTAAGTATTGGTGTGCACTGCAAGGTTCTGGAGTCATCAAAATCATAATAAATTTGACCGAGTCTTGGTAAAGTAACAAGCACTCACATAGAAAGCTATATATGGGACAACACACATGGTGTCGGGGCTAGTACTACCTTGATTTCCTTGTCTTTCTATGCTCATTACTCAGCCAGTATACATTTTCTTCCAAAATTGTTTGGCACATGTCATTTATTTGTAATCTTGAACATTCAGTGTAAGTTTCGTTTGATTCTGTGAGAATTAATTTTTATTTTTTTACCAGTACTGGAGTTTATCTTTAAAAACTCAATTTTGATAAAATATGGATTTAGCTCCTTTTGGAATCAAGCTCTTCATATTGCAAGAACAATGTCATCAGTCACAAAATGTACATCATCATTCATTTGAACACTAAATTTTTGATTGCACATCTTTAGCTAAGTATCTATATTCTAGAAAGTGAGGATCACGTTGGGTACAATGATAACCACAGTAACTTCATACATTGTACATCATATCAACTTTTCTAACTATAACAAGCATCTGGTAAATCAGATAACCATGTTACAGTCATATTTCAACTGCTTTCTAACTTATAATGCATAAGTACATGTACTTAATTCAAAGAGCCAACCTCTTGATAAAAAAAACAGACTGAATATCCTTTAAAGGTAAAAACCAGTTATGGTCATGCGATTGCATTGTGAAAGAAATGTTGTGGAATCGATCAGAAAAGGTTGATCATCTAGCATCTAGCATCTGCAAGGTTCTGGAATCATCAAAATGATAAGAAATTTGGCCCATTCTTCGTGAAGTTACAAGCACTATACACAGAAAGATGTATATGGGACTACCCTATATCTCTCACAGTCCATGAGAGAAACAAATTTACAAAATATATAAATTAGTAGGCGGTTTCCCGGCAAATTTGTTATCATCATGTATTAGTCAAAACATATTCTTCCACATGATTGGTAATGAAAGCTTCCATTTCATTTTTTGAAAATGGGGCATTTCCAATACTGGTCTTTACCTTTAAAAAAAAATCAGATTTTCATGAAAACTCAACACAACGGGCAAGTAAAATGTTTGCTCTTTCATTAATATGTAATAAGAAAATTGTAAAGCTGGTGATTCTGCGTATTTCCCGCCCATGTAGGTTTGTTGTTCAACCTTTTTGCTAGGGTTTGGAGGGTTTACCTGTACATGTTTCTATGCGATTCCATTGTTTATACCGTTTTTGTTTGTTGAAAGACAATTATATTTTCAAATTGTATTTTCAAGAGGCGATATCGTATTATCGTATTTCACTTGTTTGATCATACTAAATATGATAAAATCGTACTGGTTGCCATCTCTGCTCATACCTCTACAATGCAGCTGTTTCTTTCTTCTGAAATGGATTAAAGGTAAAGACCAGTTTTGGAAACGCCCCCCTCTCAAAAAATGAAATAGAAGCTCTTATTACAAATCATGTAAAAGGATATGTTTTGACTAATACGTGATCTCGGAATTTTGCTGAAAAACCGCCTACTAATTGATATATTTGGTAAATTATTATATCTATTTGGACCTGATAAATATAACGCATGTGTCACGCACGTGTGCGTAGTCCCATATACATCTTTCTGTGTACATTGCTTGTAACTTTACCAAGACTGGGCCAAATTTCTTATCATTTTGATGATTCCAGAACCTTGCAGTACACACCAATACTTATATAGGGCAATTCCACGGTAACGGAAGGACACTCAGACAAGATTTTTGAACTTCAGGTTCATACTAAAAGAACTGTTTTATTAGTATGTATTAAACTATGGGGAACAAAATGTGTTTCAGTCAAGTAGAAAGCTTCATCAACTTCACAAAGTTTGGATAAACACTAATTAACTGGAAAAAACCATGTCCATTTTTATGTCCTTCCGTTACCGAGAAAATTAATATGCACATTCTTAAACTACTTAACTATAATGACAATTTTTTGGGGGAGAATTAAAGGCACTTATATAGGTATTATATCTGTACTGTTTCACATCTTATACTAATAAAACAGTTCTTTTAGTATGAACCTGAAGTTCAAAAATCTTGTCTGAGTGTCCTTCCGTTACCGTGGAATTGCCCTGTACTAGATGATCAACCTTTTCTGATCCATTCCACAACGTTTCTTTCACAATGCAATCGCATGACCATAACTGTTCTTAAGCTTTAATAAACAAATGAGGTGAAAACATAATCTATACCACTTGTCGCACTTTATTAAGTTTTCCTTTGTGTTTTATTTCCTTCATAACTAAAGATCTAAAAAAAAACTGTATAAAAAAGAGAAGCAGAATATTTTGTGGGTGTAAATTGTATACATACATTGTATAATCATCATTTTGTATTCATACAAAATTTAATTGCTCGATTATTTTATTTCATAATCATATTTTAAATTAGACCTGATCTGATTTAAACGGCAGAATATACCATCTCTTGGAAGAATAAATAAGTAAGTGAAAGTATCGAGAGATGTGTGTGTTAACCCAGTCCTACATCTAATGACATCATGACCACAAAGCCCACGATAGCTCCACAAGAAGCAAGGCGGCCATTTCCGCTGTAAAGTAAAGAGAAAAACAAAAGAAATTTCATGAGAGAATGCGAAGAAAAACTGTGGTGTACTATCTCTTGGAAGAATAATAAATAGGTCAAGAGCGTAGTTAGAGATGTGTGTCAATCTAAAGACATCATGCAAGGTAAACATAAAAAACAAAACAATTTAAACAAAAATGATGACCCATAGCTTGAAAAGAGCTAAAACAAGAGAGGTTCCGGTCAAAATAAAGCCTCCAAAAATTTAAAACACCAAATTCAGAGCCTAATATCAGACAATACTCTATAATCTGTCATCTTTGTATGAGGAAGGATGAAAGGAAAGTCAATAAGAGATGGGGTGGTGGTGTGGAAGGGTGTTGGTGGATTGAGAAGGATAAGGAAGATTGAATTTAGGGAGACTGAGCTTTTTTTCCTTCCATTTAGATTGAAGATTGAATGATTTCTTGTAAAATCACTTATCAGGAATTCAACAACATACATGGACTTGAAGTAAATAAGAAGTGTTCAAAAGCCAGTGCAAAAAAAAAAAAAAAATGAAAGTTAGTTAGCCTAGTGACTACTGAAAGATCTAGTCCCCATAGGCTTAATACAGGGATCATCCGGTTTCAGTAGGCAATTATTCAATGCTAATTTCTTTAAGTGCACAGATTTAAACAGGATTTTTTTTTCTTGGAACTTTTCAAATGAAACTAGCTAATCTCCATGAATTAAATGAAACATTTCTTAATCAAATAGAAGGAGGAGGATAAGAAGAAGAAGAAGGAGAGAATTAGGGAATAAGAAGGAAAAGAAGACGGAGAAGAAAGTAAAGAAGACAAAGAAGACGAAGAAGACGAAGAAGACGAAGAAGACAAAGAAGACGGAGACGGAGGAGGAGGAATAGGAGGGGGAGGAGGGGAGGGAGGAGGGGGAGGAGGGGGAGGAGGAGGGGGAGGAGGGAGGAGGAGGAGGAGGAGGGGGAGGGGGAGGGGGAGGAGGGAGGAGGAATAGGAGGGGAGGAGGGGAGGGAGGAGGGGGAGGAGGGGGAGAGGGAGGAGGGGGAGGGGGAGGGGGAGGAGGGAGGAGGAATAGGAGGGGAGGAGGGGAGGGAGGAGGAGGAGGAGGAGGGAGGAGGGAGGAGGAGGGGGAGGGGGAGGGGGAGGAGGGAGGAGGGGGAGGAGGGAGGAGGAGGAGGAGGAGGAGAAGGAGGGGGAGGAGAGAGGAGGAGGGGGATGAAAGGAGGAGAAGGAGGGGGAGGGGAATGAGGAGGAGGGGGAGGAGGAGGAGGAGGAGGAGGAGAAGGAGAAGAAGAAGAAGAAGAAGAAGAAGAAGAAGAAGAAGAAGAAGAAGCATTACCTTGTATGTGCTTCTGGAATGATATCATCCACTACCACATAGATCATGGCACCTGCTGCAAAGGCCAAGGCATAGGGTAAGATAGGTTCAGCTACGGTGACAGCTAGTGCCCCTATGACACCTGCTATAGGCTCTACCATACCACTCAGCTGACCGTACCTGTCAGGGTAGACAAACAAATAAATAAGGGTGTTGAGTTATATGCAATATTGAATTTAAAGTTAAGTCACCAACTTCTACTACTGTACAGTTAAATACTGTACAAATAGAAGGTTTTGCATGCCCGAAACATTCAGGAGTTAATTCTAAATAATACCGTGAAATTGTAGAATCACAACATTTAGCTTTCACAATCTATATACTGTTTCCTACATAAAATGGCTTTCATTAATGATTTGCAAAACTTTCTGGTTTTGCAGTATCTTCAACATTTCCTCAGCACAAGGAAATTCAACATCAACTTTATGCAAAATGTTTCAAGGCATTATGGCATAGATTTGTACCTCAATGTAAAATGATGACAGTGCTCAGATAAAATACAGACTCCAATACAGTATGGCTTTGGGAAGCTGAAACTTCATACAGAAAATGTGCGACTGATATTTTTGTCTGGTAAGAACTAGAAGGATGTTAACTATGTGTTAGATTATATGAGATAACACCCTTCCGGCTAAAACAGGTGACATGGATTGTTCAGCAATTTAGACTACTCATGTTCCCAAAACATTGTAGGGGCTATAATCACATCCCATATATATTATCCAAGAAATGTGAAATTCAGAAAATTACTTAGAAATTTTTTTCATTCATCAAAAAGGATCTAACTCACCAGAAACTTCTCCATATAGAGAACCCTGAACCTCGAAGAGGAAGACTCACAGCAAGGCCTTCTGGGAAATTCTGAATGCCGATGCCAATGGCTAAATTTCTGTAAATATAAAAGACAATGGATGGGAAAAAGAATTAAAGCATTTTTTGTTTTAACCTGTTGAATATTGAAGTCTCTCATTCCCACAGGCTTTCAGGCTCCATTCACTTTATGTAGGAAATTTGATTTGATTTGATTTGATTTGATTTATTTTCCCACTTAAATATCCACAAATTAAATGACATGCAAGGTCGATACGTGCGCTATATAAGAATCCAATATTATAATTATTATTATACAAGTAACAAAATACTGAAAAGTATGTTCGTAATTAAATAAGTTTACAGAGTACATTTAAGTTTGAGAATAAGACAAAATACTTTATATTGCTTGATTTAACTGAGAGGGGAAAAAAGGGAATCTCAGAAAAGCTAGGCTTGTTGAGCGAGATTCCCAGTATAAATTAAATAATGGACTATCAACAACGTGCATCAAATCCTGCACATGTCAGAGACGCGCGAACCCACCCGCCTGCGCCAGATCCCCGGGTCTCCTCCGCCAAGGCCCATTCAGGGTACATCAGTCTGCCGTTGCCAGGTCGAGCAAGCTCAAGGTTTGTTCGACCTAGCAACAAGGAACATGGTTTAATCTAGTTCACGTTATCATTCTACAGTTCAAATATAATTTGACTGTGATAAAAGTGAATTTGCATCTCATTATTAGAAAACTAATATACTTTGTAAATTATCTGAACTATAGTAAAGTGATGTATGATTATCTGAGTCCTTTTTAGTAAAAGAGCACACAGAAATTTAACCCCAATGTAGCAAATATATATGTTGATTGAAGTCCTATCGCATAAAAATTATACAGAGATGAATAGTAGTATGATATTCATATGCAAAGTATGTTCATATATTAAGTGTCCCATTGATAAATATCTAAATGAAAGGTGTCACTTCTAAAAGCTCTGACATTTCACAAAATCAAAGTAATTGATAAAACCACTAGTACTCTTTCATACTGCATAATGCCTTTAATCTAATAACTTGTCTTTGTTGATATATAAGGTCATGTAAAACAAAGATTTCTGGATACCAGTATTAATTCAGGTTTGTATATGTTTATCAAATATACTTAAATTGCTTTCCTTGTGTTTTCATTAAAAAGGATTCTTATAAATCAAAAGTGATTTCTCACCTTGCATTCTCAAATGTGGCTGAGGGTGTTTTTCCTATCGCTCCAAATCCTACACCAACAGCTAAGCCCTCTGAAGAAAAGAAAAAATATCAATAATGAAACAACGATGCAAAAATAATTTCCATTTGGGCTATTTTGACATTTTGATGCCAAGTCTCTTCAAGTGACCATCCTAACTTTGACCACTAAAAGAAAATAATGTTCATTTTTTATATTTTTTGTTACTACCAACCATTAGGGATGATTTTTCATGGGATTTTGAAATCTGAAAGTAAAATCTTGAATGATGTTGTCAACTTGTCAATACTACAATTTGAGATTTTAGAACACAATATTTCATGATTTGGGTCACAAATATGATTATGAAGATCTCTCTTACTGGGTCTGCTGCAAAATATATTCTAATCAGGATCTGACATTTACTCCACCGACAAGTGCTCTGGCTTTATTTTCATCAAAGATATAGGGGTAAGGGTTGCTATATGATTTCAGGTTAGGTTGAGGGCTAGGTTGAGGGTTATGTATAGTGCTGGGGCTGGGTGCAGGGTATAAGTTGGAATTTCAGTTAGTGCATAAAATTGTCTACAGAGAGATTCTTGCAGGGGCATGTGTCGATCATACAACTGGTGGAATTACCTGGAATGTTATGTATGGTTATGACTATAATGAGTAGTAGAATTCACTTCCATCAACCTCTCTCTGCTTTTCTATTCCTCAGAAGACCGGCATCACTAGTCTATAGCAGTTCGTACCAGTCTAAACTTGTTTACTCTAGTACGTACTGGTTCATACGAGCTAGTTTTACATATATATATATATATATATGCTCTAATTACCTGGAATGTTATGTATGGTTATGGCTATGATGAGTAGTAGAATTCTCTTCCATGTAACCAAGCCTCTCTCTGTCGCTCTATCCCTGGGTGACGAGTTTCACTAGTCTATAGCAGTTCATACTAGTCTATACTTGTTTATTCTAGTTCATACTGGTTCATACCAGTTAGTTACATATACATTGTATGCTCTAATTACCTGGAATGTTATGTATGGTTATGGCTATGATGAGTAGTAGAATTCTCTTCCATGTAACCAAGCCTCTCTCTGCCGCTCTATCCCGAGGTGATGCAGGTAGACCGGTATCACCGTTGGAGAACTGGACGGTCACCGACGAGTTGATCCCTGGTTTCCGCCGTTGGGTCACGGTGGACGTATCTACAGTGAAATAGAGAAGAAAATGTATGAACATTGCTGTTGGAACAACAGTAGATACCCAACACCGCAGGCAATCCCAACACTCCATTTGATTCTAGAGCTTGAATAACCCTGACCTTAAAAGGCCGACACCTGTAAACCATTATCCTGATCATGACCTTATAACCTTAATACATTGAATGATGCATGGTGAAGTATCTGCAATCAAGCCCTACTGTCTTTGACCACATGCATGTTTTGATATCAACTCATTCTATATCAAGCAAGAGATAACTTAGACTGTATAATCATATGGAGACTGGGCATTTTTCTCTATTGCTCCTCGTCTGTGGAATTCCCTCCCATCATCTATTCATGAAATTGACAACCTGGACCACTTCAAAGCTTCACTCAAAACTCACGTCTTCCTTCAGACATTTAAATGTTTTTGAAACAGATATATGGCGCCATACAAATGCTGTTCATCATCATCATCATATCGTATATATTTAAAAAAATGTAATTGGCTAAATTTGCATTTTGCCTTCATTAGAACTCTGAATCGTGGTTGAACTTAAGTGAAGCAATATAAGAGAGAAAAATGACAATGCTTCTATTATATATCAATCATTGATCTGATACTAATTGAGTAGCCAACCTGTACAGACTTATGTCTAGTTTGAGCATAACTAAAGGTGAATCAGATAAATGATGTAATACTTAAGTGTGTCTTTGTTCAATACTACATGTATTTCACAATTCAAAGAATTGCAGCAGGATATATTTTCTAAGAAAAAAAAAATTTGAATTTTTCTAGCTGTATTCAAACTAATATACATCTACAGTATATTCATTTACCAGTACTGGTAATACAGTATATGACTCATCAAAGAGTGATCTCTAGATGATAACAGAGCTGCCAACCTTGTGCGACCAAAAAAAGGAATTTTAAGCAACAAAAAATAATTCATTAAAACGAAACTAACAACCACGCGCGACACACTTCCAATGCAGAAATTTCCATTCCTTATTGCATTTTTTTCTCCATATTAGGATATATAGTTTATTTACAAGTAGGTATTTTGTTGTTGTTATTTTGATATTATCGGCATTCATTAATTTGAGAATATCTTTTTCTTCAAGTATGTTTTAACCTTAGTTTTCTATTGAATTTGTGATCAAAATAACATTTTAGGGCAGTTGTTTGACGTGCGGTAAGTAAAAAAATAAATTATTAAAAAAATATTGGGATGAAAAAAACAGGAAAATTCTGGGAATGGTTGGCAGCTCAGTGATGATCATCATAAGCATATTTGGAATAGATCCATCAATCTACCCAATGGGTTTATCTATCTACTTGATTCTGGACATGTACATGTATGTACTTGTAAATATCACTCCAGCAGAACGACGACACCAATATATGTGTTTTATATGATCCTAACATAATTATAAAGTTGATGCATACAGAGAACAAACAGGAAGGAAGTTTGGGCATTTCCTTTTTTTTTCATCAAAGATCTATTCCGTCTAATGCATGAGAGAAGTTTACATTGCATGTAGAATTGGATTGATATCTACTTTTATTGAACCTAGCTTAATGCGGGACTGTACTACTTGTACCTACTTGCATCCTCTATACAGCCAACAAAACCTAAGCGGTACCTGTTGATCCCCCATGGTCCCCTTTTTCTTATGTTAATTAAGAACTAATTTGATGATGAGATAACCACCTGCCAGTGACCATGCAGGGAGGTCTAATCCCTCCCGGCCAAACTAGTGCAGTTAGGCTTTAAAGTTATCTATACATACAAGGAGGAAATAGGCAAGAAGTTTTAGCGTTTCATACTTTTCTACATTTAAGAAATATCCATATCTAAATCCATATCTAACTTTTGTTTTGAACAAGAACAAATTTATACTGCAAGCATGTCATGTCTAAACCTGCCATTACATTGTTAAGAAGATAATGTAAGATCTATACTATGCATTGAGGAGTTGAAAAAAATACATGTGGGAGAGTAACTGGATTGAAAAAGTTCTTGACTGTCATGATGGTACACTACATGCAATATTGATTGATCACCATAAACTTTACACATGCAGATTTGCAAATAAAACATATGTTCAGATTTAATCATAGTCTGTATATTGTCTTCTCTAAGTTGTCTTGCATGTACAGCATCCAATACCAATTTCGGGCTACAGATGTGCAGACCCTCGTGCATGCGGTTGCAACTGGGATCATAATAATAATTTAATAATAATGTATTTATATAGCGCATTTTCCATACATGTTCAAATGCGCTTTACAGTTATATTGTTAACAGAAGAGGTGAGTTTAGAGATTAATTTTTGAAGGTACTGAGAGATTGCTGGTTACAAAGAGATATGGGTAGGTTATTCCACAGTTTGGACGCAGTTGTTCAGGCTCTATCTATCACCAAGTGTGGGTAGCATCTTGGAAGATGGGTGGTTCAGTGTGATGCCTTGAGAGGAGCGAAGGGAGTAGCGGGAAGGTTGCCTGATAGTTATAAGTTGAGATAGGTAGGGAGGAGCCAGACCATGGGTGCATTTGAGGATGAGAAGAAGCATTTTGTATTGTATCCGGGACCTGATGGGTAGCCAGTTCAATTGATGAAGGGCAGGTTTTAATGTGACAGAACTTAAGTGAACCTATGATTTCATGGATATATCAAAAGCAACACACTAGATCCTCCGAAAGAGCCAAAGCTATTCATCATTATCTAATGATGGAAGAAAAAAGCCGTAGTCAGGAAGGTTGCTTGTTTTTATTGGTATACTTAATGCTGCATATGCTTTAGTTTCAGATTGTTCCCAGCCTTTCATGCATATTCATGTAAGTACAAAACTGAATGTACGTGGGTACATGTAATATCAAACTTTCAAATCAAGATTATGGCCTGGACTCGAGGCTAAAAAATCAATTTGAATGTGTAATTCAACTTTCTATCATACTGTATGATATCATATTACCCTAATGATCATCTATTTCATAGAGCAATACTAGTATCAGCACCGTATTACATGCTTTGGGTAGTTGATGATATATTGAAGAATTTAAATCTATACTACAGAATCTACACAGTAATAATATGATTTGCTATTTCATCCTCATATCACTTTCTTCCAGCATTCACTCTCCACCTGATGAATAAAAGAAGGCATTTCCTTTTAGAAGGTAATAAATAATGAGCTATGAGATTTAAATCATGCAATATATGCGAAAAAGTGACCTTTGACCCTGTAGTGGGTCCATGGACCAGGAGTGCAGGCTAGACCTGTTAATCAAACAAGGATAAACTGTCTTTAATTTCAAAAATCTTAATTATCTTTTTGGGTCCTTTCTTCCTGACACCGGCATTGAAGTGTAATCTTTTCATAGCTCCACATTTCAAATTGCTGCATACAATAAGGATTTACTATTAGTTAGATCACTGATTGGACTGTAAAAATATGTAAATGGAATATATGTTATTTTTTCTTCCAGAAACATTGAAAAATCAGAATAGAATTGTTGATTCCTGAAAAAGGCAAACTTTTGTGCCATGATTAAAAAAATAAAACAGAGATAACATTGATTTAATTTGCTTCAAGACCAGCTCAAATGCATTTAGTGCCTACAGTCTACAGATCTTCTCTAATTCAAATAAAAAAATGAAAGGGCATTTTTTTTTTTGTGAACACAAAATAAAGACAAATGGGATTGATAATACACTGGCAAAAAAAGATGCTGGTACATGGTTAACTACTTAACGCTATCTCACATTTTTCTGTTAATAAAGTAACTGTTTGTTCAGCCACAAACATCCTTCTTGCCAGTGACTTAGCTACGCGTGGGAGGAGGGGGGCATGGAGTCATGTGCCCCTTTAAATAATCAAATATTGAAGAAGAAGAAAGAAAAAAACATGAACAAATATAACAGGAGAGTAAAAGGATAAAGAGAAGGGTAAAATGACATAACAGAAAATGATAGCATCCACTCCTGCACCATACTTCTTAACAAAAACCTGGTAAATTTGCATTTCATTTCATAAGTAAGACTGGCGCCTCCTCCCTCCCCCCCCAAAAAAAATGATACCAATGCCCCCTCAATGGCTAGACCCGTGCTACGCCACTGCTTCTCACACTCAGCTAAACCTTACCTGGTGTTTCTTCATCTGCGTTCTGTGCTACTGTAGTAACAGTAAGGTCATCTTCATACTCTGCATGTAGTTTGTTCTCAGATTGTAAAGCCAAGGCAACGTTTGGTGACGAAATCCCCTGAATGAAAGAAGGAAATGCGGAGGTCATAGGTGAATGTAAGTCAAGGACAGCAAGATTTTATTCACATAAACTACATGTATTTTAAAGCCCAATTATGGTGATAATATATTTAGTGTATTCCAACCATTATAAAAGGTTCTCTTTTTTCTCTAGCCTGCTGAATGATATTAGACCTTATATACAAACATAGGAAGATAATCTTTGCTTATATGATTAAAGCTAATATTGCACCTTACAGAAAGCTATCAATGCTTTTCAAGAACTACACTCACAAGCATGGGAAGAAAGACATCTGCAGCGTAAACAAAGAGGGCCCCCAATATAAACCCGATGGCTGCCGGTACAAAAGACCACTTGTTGTATCCGTTGGTCTCTGCTATCTCAATAGCCGGAGCAAGGAGCGACCAGTAGGAGGCAGCTATCATCACCTAGTTGAAAAAATATATGGAAAATTGAATTGAATTGAAATTGACATTAAAAATATGGTCAAAGGATAGACAATTTTATGTTTTGAACGAATTATGTCATGGCTTTCATTAGAAACAAATAAGACTTGACTGGAAAGCCAAGCCATCGTAAAGGATGTTTGAAGAATGTCTTAGAAAGACATTTGAGCTTCAGTCGAGTTCAGTCCATATGAATACATTTCTATATGAGTGTGACATAGTTCCACATATGTTTGAACAGTAATTATTAAATGATTACTAACATTTTTTCTCCAATTGATCTTACAATAGTCAATAAATAACACTATAGTTCATACAATGTCATTTTCATTCTGATCTATCACTTTCTTTAATGTTAAATTGTTTGTTTGACCTACATGTAACAAGATGCTTTCTTTAGAGAAATAAAATGTAATAATATAATAATAAGGAACCCCCGGCCACAAAAAGTCATCCTTCCAACATACATCTTTCTAGCTCATCAAACAAAGACTTAAGCTATCAGTAACAAGATTAATCAATATTCTGGTCTACCTTTTTGATCAATCAAATTTGAGAATAAATATTTGTACTTTCCCCAAGTACACATTCAACATAGCTGGTTAAAGGCCTTTCATGTATAATCTTCACAACTCATATCATCGCAGCTCACAACAGAATTTTCCAGAACTATTACAGAATCTTTGAGAGAGAAAAGAAGAAGCAATCATTCTCACTCATAGACGATGGAATAGTTTGCAATTGAATGTGAATGTAACTCACCCCTGCAGCAAATCCTAAGCTGCCATCAAGAATTTTCCTCTGAAATGATTAGAAATAATGGATATTAGTTAATGCATATGTCATTATCTCTGTTCAGAGAAAGAGGAAAGTAAAAGTAGAATAATTCACATTCATACATGCTGCTTTAATTTGAAACAATTACAAATTTTAACAGATGGCCTGTATATTAGTTGAATTTGTTGACCTTGTAAAAAAATATATTCATAATGTGTTCACTGAAAATGGATAACTTAATATTAGTTTTCCTCATAGCCTTCAAAAGTATGGTAGGACAAAAAAAATAGGTTCAGCATTGTTGGGCTGTAAAACTACAAATGTAATAATTCCAAGGCCCAATACATGAAATTCATCATGTAATATTTACTGAGAAGTTTATAGAACCCACTTAAAAACATAACCAATCACCTATACACATTGTATCTGTTGGAGTATGCATAGCCTTAAAAACATTTAAACTTAGATTTTTCTAATAGATTTACATGTAAGACTTAGGGATTTTCTTTTTCTTTTTCTGAACAATAAGTATTTTCCCAATTATGCCACTAACAACTTTCAGGGACACAGTAGCCTACCAAACACAATTATCAACAATGTAATTGATATTTTGTGGTTTTTCATACTTACTCCATGATTTCACCTATAAAAAATGTGGTTATGCAATTGATATCATAATCCTACATGTACCATTTCAACATGGAATTAAAATCCATACCAGAAAATCTGATCACATGATCCTACCTACTTAGCCTACAACCAATGCCTGCCAATGTGCAAAATAAAATAAACATGTCCTAAAATCTGTACCACTTCCATTAAATATCATTATGGTATCATTAATGATATCAATATGTAGAATTAGTAAGAGAAAAAAATAAAAAACAAAACCAACCAACCAATTTAGCCTACTACAAATGCCATTCAACATGCAATATAAAAATAACAAATCCTCACTTCCATTGAATATTATTATGGTACAATATCATATAAATAATAAATTAATGTGTAGGATAATTACGGTAGTTAAAGCTAGATTTCTATGCAATCAAAACCGGGCTGACCAGATTAAACGTATTTAAAAAAAAAGCAGAAATACAAAGTTGTTAACCAACTAAAGACTCCTAATAAACTGCGATATTGGTTAATTAATTATATTATTATAGTAAAAATTTTCAGTTTCAGTTTTCTTTACGGATAACTGAAGATATGGCATATATATATTCAATACTGAACGAACGCCATCAAAACTATTACCAACAACAACATAAGGATAATTAGTAAGAGAACACAACAAAACAAAACACCCCCACCCCCAGTTAGTAAACAGAACAAAACAAACAACCAGCTTATTTTTAAAGCACTGATGCTATTAAGGGCTTTAATTTGCAATGAACCTGACCGGAGAGGAGAGGATCAATTGATCTTTACAATCTTACCAGTGGGAGATGTGCATGTTAATGAGATGTTGAGCTTTCAATAGATGTGTATGTACCATACTGCACTTGAACTGTTTACATCCCATTCCATTATGCGATCTGCTCAGTGTTTGAATAGGTGTTCAATCACTGTACATGTATGTTTGCTCTTTTTGCATGACTGCATCTCACTTTGCTATACGTGTCCCATACACAGTCTAGAAAGTTCTCTATCAAACATTTTAAATTTCACCACAGCAAGCGCTGGTTACTTTTTTTCTTCAATGTTTTACTTTAAAAAATTAAAATTTCTACATGTATCTGTAACATCATTCCACTTCAATAGTAATAATAATTCAATTTCGATTAAATAACAAAAACTCTGACAATTTAATTCTTAATCGTCACACAATCTATATTTGAGAGAAATGTAGAGGTCTATACTTCTACATTTTAAAGAAATATAGAGTCTAGAGAGTAGAGGTCTATACTTCTTTAGAATGTATTAGATGATTTTAGATCTCTATATTTCTTTAAAAGTTTTTAATACCAAAATCATCTCTGTTTTCCAACACATCCGTCTGAAGTTCTCAAGCGCCATAACCACAAAAACAATAACATAATATTCTTTAATCAAAATGAAATTCTGATTAGGACACTGTCATACAATGCCAATGGGCAACTGACTAGTTAGACAAATTGAATAGAAAAGTAAAGAAAAACTTCAAAAAGACAAAAAGAAAAACTTCAAAAAGTAACATAAATGCCAAAATGGTGCAGAGGCCTCGGGCCCCAAAACCAAGTTGGACCATTCAATTTCAACATGGAAAAAAAAATTGTATTTCACGCATCTTCTTTTTTTTTAAACCGTTTAATTAATCGAACATTGCTACCGGTATTTAATTTTTTTTAAAAGTCATTGATGATCAATTCAAAGCAATAGACCGACTTTACACAGATGTTGACACGTGGGACTACATCCCAACAAATTTCTTACCTTTCCACTTGTAAACACGAACACAAGGGCGGCTCCTGCAGCCGTCAATCCCCAGGTAAACAAAGTACCTAATAGGGCCTGAGTGACTGGATCGTAACCTTGCAACATTTTGATAAATGTTAATCAGATCATTCAAAAATAGTGATTTCCACCTCCTCAGTTCGTACTTTTGCGCGATCAGCTCCAGTCAAGATCACAGCTATCCGTGTCACGTATACGCGCTGGCCTGGCCTGGAGCTAGCTACGATTCGGTCGTTCGTTGGGCCGGGCATGTTGTTGTTGTGTTTTGAGTTATTGGCGATTAGTCAGTGATTTGACTATTGTCGCCAAAATACTTTACGGCACGTGTTATATCTCTCAATTTTGGATTTAAAAAAAAATATATATTTATTTCGTTTTATATTTATCTATCTTTTAAGATAGTATCGTAAAATAATATCGTAAGCAAAACATTCATGGGCTTTGTTAGTGTTTCTTAACAGTACGTGCAGATTATTTGTTATATCACATACACACCATACATAAGATAGCACCTACACAAGCTTCTATATTCAGTAATCTTATCATACCTTTTATCATTGTTGTTACTTTTTCTTGTTTTATTTTCTTAATACATTATGTTATTATATTTTTATTGTACTGAGTGTAATTTAACATATTTATAATATTGTATTATGTTTTACTGTTCTTATTTTATTTTCTTATTACATTATGTTATTTTATACAACACCTACGTGGATCCTTGTCATTTGATTGGACGATTGTTGGTCACATGATATTCAATAGATGGTATATTGCACGGTCGTGCATTTTTGGTTATATGCGCCGTGCATTTTTGGTTATATGCAGACTGCGTATCTCTCTGCTGCATGTGCGCGCGCGTATCCCTGCGTGTATCTGACGCGAAGGCAATCTGCATGTAATTGAGAAGGCTTGACTCGAACTGTAATTTATCTTTAAAAGGAGTAAAGCATAATTTGTTGATTAACGTTCTATTAGGTCTTCTTCGATGTTGTATAAAACAAATAATGAATGTTTTTCATTCGTTTAATAGTGCAAATATTTTCATTCGTTGAAAGATTAACGTTAATTCTATTCAACTCGGCTGACGCCTCGTTGAATAGAATGTTAATCTTTCAACTCATGAACATATTCGCACTATTGAACTCATAACCATTCATTATTTGTATAATATTTTTAATGTACTGAGTGTAATTTAGCATATTATAATATTGTATAATGTTTTACTATTCTTATTTTATTTTCTTATTACATTATGTTATTATATTTTTAATGTACTGAGTGTAATTTAACATATTTATAATATTGTATTATGTTTTACTGTTCTTATTTTATTTTCTTATTACATTATGTTATTATGTTTTTAATGTACTGAGTGTAATTTAGCATATTTATAATATTGTATTATATTTTACTATTCATCAAGGGAGGTATTACTTCCTGATAGGGAAGCGTTTCGTTCTGAGGAAGAACCGTACAATAGCTTTTTGTATATTAGACTCACTCTTTTTTAAGTATTCCATAATTTTTTCCGGTTGGGATTCGTTAATTTCTGTTAAAAACATAGCCCTTTCTATAATATAGTTAGGGCAATGTACTAAAAAATGTTTTACAGTCTCTATTTCACTGGGGCATCTATTACAGAAACCAGTAGCATGAATTCCTAATCTGAGGAGATCCTGGTTAAGTCCAAGGACTCCAAAGCGGAGTCGGTGAATAATTGTTGAATGTTGTCTCTCTAATGAACATATATATGGTTTATTAACATCTTTTTGATATGTTTTCAAATACGAGTTGGTTTTGTTCCACCTTTCTTGCCAAAGGAGTTTGGAACTTGTAGTAATTAAGCTTTTCATTTCTGACATATTTAGATTATTATTGACTTCTATTTTCTTTACTAATGCGGCCTTTGCGTGGAAATCCGCCATCTCGTTCCCTTTTATTCCACAATGTCCAGGTATCCACTCTACATATATATCAACTCCTTTATTCTTTAAGTGAGTAGTCATGGTGAGAATTTCCAGAATAAAAGATTCGTCCTTCTGTTGTTGTAATGCAATAAGTGCACTCAGTGAATCACTAAAAATAACAACCCCCACATAAATGTCTAATTCATCTACCCATCTGAGAGCAAGAATGATGGCAGCCAATTCAGCCCTGTACGAAGAGGTGAAATTTGCTAACCTTTTGCTCCGATGTAAAGAATAGTACACTCTTATTTCCACGGAGTCAAATTTCACTCTAAATGGCGTCAGCTGGGAGTCAACTCTATTCCGAGTTAAAGTGACACGGAAAAGGAGTCATCTTGACTCTGAATTGAGTCAATTCTCAGCTGATGCCACACAATCCGAGTCAAATTGATTCGGAATCCGTGTCACTTTAACTCGGAATCCGTGTCACTTTAACTCGGAATAGAGTTGACTCCCAGCTGACGCCATTTTTGACTCCGTGGAAATAAGAGTGTAAGGGACGTAAAAAGCAGCTGCAGAGGTCCCTCTTTCAGGTACTTTTGATCCATCGGTGTATATATGTAATTGAGTCGCCCATTTAGTATGTATGATTTCCAGGCTGCTTTGTTTTTGTTGTGTAGGATGATCTGTTTTCTTTATTCGAGTACTTAATTCCGTTGACACTGCCGGAGGGTAGAATAACCATGGTGGAAATGGAGAGTAGGTTATCGTTTCTATACGTTTTCCCAGCTTGCTTTGTATTCTATATCCAAAAGGTTTGTTTACGTTTTTCCCCTTCAAGTATTCAAAATGCCAACATGGTTCAATGTTTTTTAACAACGGATGATTCGCCCATCTTTCGATGTTTTGTCTATATTTACTTGAAAGCATTTGTCTTCTTATATCCAAAGGCATTTCCCCCATTTCCACCTGTAGTGATTCTAAGGAGGTTAAGGGCAGCCCACCTGCGCATATCCTCAGTGCTTGGTATTGGACAGAGTCAATGGCTTTTTTGGTGGTAGCAGCTGCACTGTCATACGCCTCACATCCGTAATCAAAAAGAGACCTTATAAGTGCTCTGTACACCATAATAAGTGATTTCGAGGAACTTCCCCAGTTTGTTCCAGTTAGACATCTTAAGATATTTAATTTTCTTTTACTTCTCGTGATTACATTTTCGATATGTGGTTGCCAAGTTAACCTTTTATCAAATATAACCCCTAAAAAGCGATGAGATTTTTCGTACATTAACACATTTCCATTCAGTTCTATATCAGGCGGTACAACGGCATTCCAGCTTTTCGTAAAAAGTACGGGCACTGTTTTGACAGGTGAGAGTCGAAACCCCCACTCTTCAAACCAACGATTTAAAAGATTCAAATATTTCTGTATTTTTTCAGTAATATGTACAATGTTCCTGCCTGATATCCATATTGCGCAGTCATCTGCATACATAGATATTCTTACATCTTGGTCTGTCGGTATATCACCCATCATTATATTATATAAAAGAGGACTTAAAACACTCCCTTGTGGTAACCCGTTATGCGTTTTATAAGTTTTAGATTCTGTATTTCCAATTCGTACTTGAAAAGTTCGTGCTGTTAGATAATTTTCTATATATCTCAGCATGTTCCCTTCTATTCCATTTTTTGCTAATTTAAAAACCAGACCCTTTATCCAAACTGTATCGAAAGCCTTTTCGACATCCAAGAAAACCGCTATTACATGTTCATTACAATTTATACTCTTTTGGATGTCGTTTTCTAATTGTACAATATTGTCTGTCACACTACGACCTTTCCTAAATCCACTTAAAAAATTGGGTAATAATTCATGCTTTTCAACATACCATTGTAATCTTTCTTTTATCATTCGTTCAATTATTTTGGCAAAACATGATGTTAAAGAGATTGGTCTATATGACGATGTATTTCTGGGATCTTTTCCATGTTTGAGAATGGGGATTATTATAGAATGCTTTAGTTGAATTGGAATTTCCCCGGTTTTCCATATTAAGTTAATGATGTTCAGCATGATTTCCTTGTTTGCTTTTGGCAGATTTTCATAAACAACGTAAGGTATATTATCTTTTCCTGGGGCAGTCTTTTTTCGCGATTGCACTGCCTTTTCAAATTCTGTTATAAAAAAGGGTTCATTAATAACATGATCTACATTTAAAATATGAATGTCATTATTTGGTGCCTTCGGTAATTCCTTATTAGTATCCCTGTCTTTTATTCCTATTTTTTGAAAGTAATTTCCAAAGGCATTTGCTTTCTCCTGATCGGAGACAATATCTTTACTATTTACAATCAATGTTGACATATTTTTTTTATTTTTTTATTAGTACACCGTTCAGCCGTTTTATACAAGTCCAGATCTTAGATTCTGGCATATACTGATCAAGCTTCGTGCAAAATGCTCGCCAGTATTTTCGTTCTGCTTGGCGGAGCACACGCTGTGCTTCTGCTTTCTTTTTTAAGTACTCATCTACCTTTTCAAAAGTTATTTTCCGTGACATCTTATTACACATTCTATTTCTCTCTTTGATTTTCTCTGTACATTCTTTGGTCCACCAAGGCACCGGATTTTTAGAGACATTTCTCCTTTTCGGTACAGTTTCTTTTATACACAGTTTTAAATATTTCATGAAATTATCATATATTTCCTGTATATCATTATTTATAAGTATGAGATCATTTGTAATCATCTCTTCACATTTCTTAGCAAATTTTTTCAAATTTATATGTTTAAAGGAGATAAAATCATCTGCACTTCTTATTGAAGCATCTTTATATTCAGAGCTTTTCCCGTCTAAAGTTGTTTGGATATTTATTGGGAAGTGATCACTTCCAAAAAGGCTTTCCATGACTCTCCAAGTACTTCTACATGCCAGTGAAGGAGTGGTTATACATAAATCTAAGCATGACAATTTTCCTGTTCGTGGATCCAGTCTGGTTCCTTCGCCATCATTCAAAACAGTTAGATTATGATGATTCACGAAATTATTGTTCTATCACTTGTCCATTCTTGTCTGTTTTGTCACTTCCCCACATGGTACCATGAGCGTTAAAATCGCCTACTATAATAACTTTATCATTTTTATTAACGTCTTTTAATAGCACATTCATAATATATTCATTTAATTTCTTACAAGGATTATAAAAGTTCACAATTGATAACTTTTCATTTCCTGCGTGTATGTTTACTTGCTGCATTTCTAAATTTACATCATTCATTGGACCTTCATACTT